AAACAGTTTCTATTCTTAAGTAAATATTTTCGTTCGTGAGTATTTTTTTAGTAAACCCTCCAACCATTCAATTTATCAAAATAAATAGGGACATTAATATAATAGTGATATTACTCATAATTGCTATTCGGCAACTGACTTCATAAAATGTTAGGATGTATTGGTCAAAATAATACAAAGAGGGAGTTATCTGGAAGAGAGTGATGACAGTAGACAAGATTGAGTGGCAATCTCTAAAACTCACCTCCTCCTTCCGAACATAGATACATGACCAAACCGTAAATATCAATGATTTATAAGATTCATTGATCTCTTATTACTACTTATTTTGTTTTAAGATTAATTTTCGTAGGATTTTTTACCTAAAGAATTCCTAAATGAGTCTGAACCAATATCTTTGCCTTTGATGAAGCCCCCATAGCATAGGGAGTTCCTCATAGATATATATTATAACTTATTTACAGTATGGTAGTATTAAACTCAGCCCTAAATCCTGCACCATAACCAACAAATTTAATTTCCATCAGTCGCCACCATCGCCACCACCTCTAATAATTGCAAATGCTTGAGTGCCAGTTGTGAAATGTTGTCAATGTACAAGACAAACAACTCTTTATACATAAAACAAAATAATTTAGATGTACATTAAAAAGAGCGTACTATTTCCTAAAAGGCCAGCAACGCGTTTGTGACTCCTGACTTGCAGGCGTTCATGGGCGGCGATGGTCACTTTAAATCAGGTGACCCGTTTGCTCGTCTACCCCCTCTTCCATGAAAAAAAATACCAACGAAAAAATCCAAAGGTGAGTCCAGCAGATTGATGACTCCGCTGCATTGATAGATGCGTATCGCCGCGTGACACGTAATCAGCGAAGCGCCCGGATACCCGGACACATAACAAACACTCCGGATAATTTAAAATGCAATTACCGTCCGGAAACGTCGCTAATTAAACGGAGATATTTGTTAATGGCCCCTACACCGTTGGTGGCCTCCCCTCGTTTTCCCCCCTCCCTCACGAGCCTAAAGCTGACCTCCGTCCGACTTCGGTTCAATTTGTAATGACATTACCTTTGCAGCCTTTTTTGTGGAAGGACGAAACGAGCAATCTCTTATTGGTGTCAGTTACGTGAAATTGATGAGATATATTACTTCGGCAGAGATGAGACGGTTCGATAGTGCGTAAATGTAACGTATGGATTTAATATGGGGGACTTGAATACATCACATACAGCGTAAACATTACGGCCGTACTTTCGAAGTGGAACATACGAACATTTTCCTTGAATTCATCAAACGTTATGTGGTTCACTCACGGTAGTGTAGAAACCTATTTGTCGATGCGGACGACCGTCTAAGAGTTCTTTTTCTGTGCTCCGGGAACAAACAGTGCTTTCTTCTACAAAACGGATTAAATTTTGATAAAGTGCTAGCGTGCGCCTGAACCAAACATCGGCATCCTGGTAATAGCAATAGCCTTCATAAATTATAAAATCACCGGCGGAATTCGAGAGGATTGCGTAATGAAATTTTACTTAGAACTGAAGATTCGTAAATCGTTTCGGTCCCGGAATACGACGGCCCAGCGCGGCAGCGCAGCAGGCAGCAGAATACGGCCCAACACGACTTCTTTATTTATAGCCGGACTAAAATAAGTTTACCCGTTAAATATTCAGTACGCAGGTTGCTCTGTCTTCGCTGAGGCAGCGCGATTGGGAGCTATTTGTACTTCGAGATAGTTCATATCTATACCTATTATATAAACAATGTCTTTTCAAATGTTTACATAACTGATAGCAAATGGTATTTGTATGAAGTGAAATTTCATTAAAAAAGCTATTGCTTAGTAATTAATTTTTTGTTCATCATAATCACATATTTCTAACAAATACGTTAAGAATATGAGCATGGACTGCAAACTGAGCAAAACTGACACAAGTCCAGGACGGACGGATGCCGGGGTCTAGCACTCGTAAGGCCAATCTGACATTGAAATACCAATAGAACAGACTCGTCAATAAAAATAATGATTTATAAAAAAAAACATCAATAAATTAAAGTCAAGAGTTTCAGGCACTTTTGATCACCATTAAAATAAATGATAACTATTTAATTTCCTCTACATTTTATTTTATCAAAGACCACATCAGAGATCAAAGACTCATGTAAATATGATAAAACAAATTATTTTATTTGTAGAAAATGTTACTTTCAAAGTTGCATTTTGTTTGAATTCTTGTCATTATTTTGTTTAGGAATGGGTATAACATTTCTCGTTGATATGCATAAAATACATACAAAAATCATTACAAAAATGGATCGCAATTTACATTTACGATTTCATGTTTCAATTCTGTTGATTTAAATTTAGACCAGTGGTATATTGCCACGGGAGGTAGATGAAAATAACTGAAATATCAACTTTATAAAATATTTATACACTTTTCCTCAAAGTTCCTGTACGAAACGCCCGCCCCGAAAATAAAGTCGGATTAAAAACGTAAAGTAGCGAGCTCTACGTTTACGGCCTCTAAAGATAATGCGAGTGGCCGAAGTATGGAGCTTACCTGTCCCATAACACGTCACATAACATTATGTTGAAAACTTAAAACTAGCAGCTTGTGCTTAAATCCAGTATAATACAGTAAATAGGGGAGTAGGAGCACATTTTAAGCAACAATGTTGCAACCATCATAAAGTTTGGAATTATGTGCATGAACACGCTGAGGCACGCGGCTCTATTGGATGAGGCCACTACGAGACACGCACACCACAACACATCGCACTCACACACAGATATGCATGTTGCAGTCAGTAGGTATCGCACCACTTATCTGGCATACTTTATTCCTTGTAACCATAATGTAGTCGTTAGTTAGCTGGCCTTCTGAGCTGGTGTAGCGCAAATTCACCACTGCGTAAAGTTCGAGCATGTGTGGGTTACGGCGTCCACTGTGTAAATATGTGCGGTGATCGCTTAGCTTAATAAGCACGACGCTTGGCCAGCCGCCAGCGCCGTATCACGCCACCGGCAGACTTATGGCACAGCACACAACACAGCCGCTGACTCGGCGGTGATTAAGATTTTTGCAGTACCGCTGCCTTGCCGTCCTCGCTGTAGGAGCACCAAAACCCGCTTGCCGAACTATTATTTTATGAGTTGTGGATAATAGACTCTCTAGATATTTCTCCTTAATAAAGCTTACAAAACTAAGCCATGAGACTGATTTTCTGGAAAGTATATTAATGATAACATATAACTTAACAATCCGTGTGGTGATCCGGATTAAGAATACGCATTGTCACCACCCCCAATCATCCCGTGGGTGTCGTATGAGCCGACTAAGTGAGCAAACTACGCAAAACAACATCACTGCAAAGAGAAGTAAAACTTGACAAAAACCCTAGATATACCCGTCTGGCCAGCGTGGTATAGTAGGCGAAAACCGTTGTTCAGCAGTGGACTGTTTAAGGCTGTTGATGATGATGATGATAACTTAACAATAAGAAGGAATTAAGAAAGACTACTTAAAAAAATGAGTAGTTTTCCGTTATAAAATGGATAAATCGAACGCATAACTTAGAATCTAAGTGAAGGTAATGATTCCAAACCAAACAAGAACCACAGTCTTAGCGACTTTTTAACAAAGCATTTTAATACTGAGGCTAATGAGCGAAGAAGCATGATATTAAGGGGTAAAAAGAATTCGTAGCATTATTAAACCCATTGAAAACGTGGCACGCGACGTGCGCTACCGCGCGGCGCATACAATTTATGACGCGCACGTGATTGTTGTAGCAGCCACACCTGCTGGCTGCGGGGCCACACACGTATCACACATTATGCGCTCGCTAAATGAACAGGTTCAAATTATTACAACCATCCCAATATGAGTTTTAATGTCCATCATAGAAAATCAATTTATCCTTAAAATCTTTAAGACGCTACTTATACCCGTAATTGTAAATTAGGAACGCTATACTTACAGTACAGTCGGACATTTTCAATGAATTATTTCCCCGCCCGGTAACACCCCTGTCTGCCATTTTCCGCCAGTTTTACACGCCCAAATACGATTTTTGAGCTCTCCCCGTAATCTCAACTCGACTGCCTTAAAGAGGCTTAATATAAAATGTGAGTACAAGGTACTAAGAAAAATATTAAGGAACGGGAAATTCGCGAGCTAGACATAAAAGTTTACTTTGTCTTCAAATTGTTGCCCTCCCACGTATTATATTTACGTAAGGATATTTGAATGTTAAGCACCTGGTACACGCTTTGTTAGTTAGGAGTGTAATAATATGTGTAAGATAAGGGGGTGGTCAGTTAAGTGGACAGAGCGAAGCCGGTGGCTGGAGATGCAGGCGCGGCGATAGGCGGCCGATTGTTTGGCTATCGGCGCGGCGCACACCTGCCGCCGCCGCACATTAATCTGTGGCGCGCCGCTATTAACGCGCTCCCTCACTCGACTCACGTATATTTAATAAACACTGCTTTTGTTTTTTTTTAATGTTCTGGGGCAAACGAGCAGAAAGGTTCCCTGATGGTAAGTGACTATCTGCGCTCATAGACCCCCGCATATAAAGAGTTGCCTTCTTGGGTAGCGCCGGTTGTTTTCTTGAGGTTTGAGGTCCGTAGCTATTCGGAAATACGCAGGCTTCACTTAGTTTCACAGATTGGTTGTGCGAGGCAAAAAGTAATTTATATATTACTTTTTGCGCTTTGCGCGAAAACTGACGCAAACTTACGAAAACTCCAATTCTAATTATGGAATAAAGTTAAACATAATAGAGAATGCGAAGTGCGATTTGAACTGCTGAGGGGGAGTCTTCAAAAATGTCAGAGGTCACACTCGCTTCGTCGTTCGAACGGACCAAGCGACACCGGCTTAGAGTTGACTGAACACTAGCGAACTACTTACTACCGAGTAAACCTCGGCAGCGAGGTCGCATCAGTGACGTCACGAGTGTAAAATTCTTCGTTGATGGGTATTGCAAAAATGTGCATACTGCTGTTAAGTAGCTTAGTGCGTAGTGGACAACCGGTTATTCAAATGTTACTTAGTAGAACAATCTCGTTACGATAGTGTTACGATAATGTAAGTCCTCGTAACGAGCGCTTGTAAGGCGGGAGCCCAATTGCGATGGGGCACGGGTAGCGCGCACATTCACATATCAATTTGGTGAAATCTTTTGTCTGGGGGCGCGTAGGTGACGAGTATACATAATTCAACGGAGCGACGTTCATTAAGTGCTCGTAACGAGATTAAACTGAATAAATGAATTTGAATTGAAACAAAATATTCAGTGCGCGTGTGTTCCACGAACAAGCGCGTATGACGACGTGTTATGATTTTCCGCTGAGGCACAGGTCCTCGCCCTTTCTAAGGCAAACAGAGATTATCGCAGTGTTATTCTAATGGCATTGCCTTAGAGATTGTTTTATGGAGAGCTGTTACTATTTAACGGAAACACTATACATTACACATTGATGTGAATACAATAGGGAGTATAAACACTTAAAATAATAAGCATTCAACACCTCAAGTCTCCTTATTCTTAAACATGCGTTTATAAACAGAGCGATGTTTGTAACTGTTAGTTAGTCATGGTTTAATAATCGAACTGTAATAGTAATGGCTATAAACCACTGCTATAAATTATACACCGGGATATAACATGTATAACATATTATTGAATAAAGTTTATAAAAACATGCTAAAATAAGGTTGAACAGATGCGAATGGTGCAACTTTTAGCGTATTAATTTTAGTATTCGGTGACACTGGATACCACCGGACGTGGCATGTCGGACTCGAACCGACTAAAACCGCACCCCGTCTCAGGTACTAATAGCCGGGGAACCAGGTATACCCTAGAAAGGAAGTCCCTGGTGGGAAAGGAAGTCCCTGGTGGACAATGGATTGCACCCATTCTCCATGTGCGTGTGCAGCTCACACCACTTGGCACCACATTTAACATAGTATGAAAAACATTGATATAACCTGATAAAATTTTAGTTTTCTCTACATCAAACAAAATATATACTCGAAGAGTATATTTAAATGTTGCACCGTGGGTTTAAGAACATTTCCGCAAAGTAAATTACAAAAATTAAAAAAAAATACACGTATTGGATTTAAATATTACTCAGTGTCATTCGGACTAGCAACTGGGGTCACGGTTTACCAAAAGATTGTATTATTTTCTCTTTCATCGGTAGTATTCATATCACACCCAGATTTAAACGTGCAATCATTTGATTAAAGTTCCGACAAGTACTAACTTATTTTAAGAGTAGGTTTGTAAATTAGGAATCTAACAGTAACGTACACAATTAACTCTTTCAATAAGTTTATTTACGATTAATAATAGTGTTTGAGAGAGGAGATTAGTCCTTCCTCGTACTCGTGTAAAAAAGTAGGATCATTGCTCCGGTTTGCGACCAGTTAGCTGGGTTGTCACTTCAGACAAGCAAAAGAAAATTTATCCATACTCAATATTTAAAAGGTTTTCGTCTTCTATACCAAGAACAGAATCTGGTCCCCTTGAGTCGATAGCATCACATCTCTTTCCACTAAGCCAACCTTGAATTCTAGTCCGGGGGATCTGACACAGTCTACCAATTTCTCATATTTCCTACATTCGAATGTCATTTAGTTTTATGTTTACTTTTTTTCTGTGTTTGCGAATTTTTTTATGCATTTTCTTAACAAAATTGTTTATTTATTTATTACAAAACTTCATGCACAGGTATGTGTTGTGCAATGGTGCACTTAATGCCACAGGCATTTTCTTCCAGTCTACCGTAGGGTGGTGCTGAAATGTGTGACAAGGTGCACAAGAGATTGATATGTAAAGTAAGAGAAAGTTATTGAGAAGTTAGACAGAAACATTTAAAATATTGTATACTTTTTATGCCAAATTCTAATTGTATAAACTTTTAAATTTGTAAAATTAGGACTATACTGATCCTTTTTAAATTAATAATTAAATAGCCATTTAATCAAACAACACACGTAAAATACACGTGATCGCACTCAACACATTATTATAATATTACAAATTATTATATTTATTAAGGATTGCGGTCGCAAACTAATGTCTTTATTTCAATTTCATTGGTTCAAATTAAACAAGATTTCTTTAAATAAACTGGTGATCGCTTACTTAACAATTGCATCTTTGCACTTTGACAATGTTACTCCCTAAATTGTAGAAGACCTGTATGAACCATTATGATCATACTAAGCAAAACAAAATAATGTTGTATTCGTTTTTGACATATTGTCACTTCGGTTACCGACTAGTTTTATCTTAATATTATGCATGAACATAGCATATATAAATGATTATTGTACATATATGAATGATACGACATGAAAATATAAATAAATAATTCTAAAAACTTAACGATTGTTCCAATTAAACACAGAACTTGCCTGTATGAAATAAGTACTTAAACTATTTTTGTTTTTAAATCATCAATAAACTACACCACTGAATCGTATCGCATATTGACCAATTTTTTTTGGTGCTGGGATAAATCATTGGTTTCAAACCCTGTAAATTCTTATTTGATAAATGTTTAAAGAACGCATAACATTTATTTTTTTGTTGATGTTACTTCTAGAAATGCTATTATCTTCTCTTAAAGAAACTAAGTCCGTTAAAAGGTTGCCAACTGAAGGTGGTCGCGAAACCGGCGCAATGACCCTATATTACATAACAATTTCATTGTTTTACTCAACTGAATTGGAGCGAGAGTAAATTCACTCAGCGCCATCTAACATAGTAAAACTGAATAACCTTAAACTAATCCACTTCGTATATGCTTTGAATTTCAACGGACCCTAAATCTTGTATTTTGTTAGTTTATTTAAAAGATCATTAATCCATCTATGTTTACGTTTACACCTTTTGATTCTCCTTTAATTTATTTTATTTATACTTTTGACCACCAGTGGATTTCATTGTTCTTTTTGCTCAATACATTATTATCTCTTGTTTTTCTTCTTTTTCTATTACATCGTCGACAGATTGTAATGAATATTAGAACTAACGAGCTCTTATTTGGTCTCGACAGGAGGAGCTGCGCGACAATTTGACGGTGAGCGTGATGAGCTTCGTGCCGACGCTGGATGACGACGGCAAGCCCATCGTGTGCCGCGCAGAGAACCCTAACGTCACCACACTTGTCATGGAGACCACGTGGACCATCAGCGTCGTCTGTAAGTACCTGTACAATCTTAGTTAAGGAATCTTTATTAAATTTATTATGCATGTAAACCACGCAAACTTTGTCCGGTGATGAGCAATTGATCTGGACTGACGGACCTTACCGGACTTAGGGACCTGAGGCCTAAGACACTCAATATGCCTTCTTCTTTGGTCCCGTCTGAATTCTATTACAATCCCAAGGATTGTTGGTGTTAGACAGACGCCACCGGGGACCTCGTAAAACTTTGGTACACGGTTTTTTTTTAAACTCCCGCATTAGGACTATATATATTATGTAGCTGGGGACTTTACAAACATAGACGAAACGGACATAAAGAACACCAAGACTCAGAACAACAATTCAAAGTGGTATCCCATGTGGGGATTGAGCCCTTAGCACTCAGCGCTGTAAGAAGCAGCATTTCAACCGCTTAAACCACTACGCCATCCGTGTATATAATCCTATAATATAATGATGATGATATAATGAAATGAGAAGTGTTGTACTGATCTATTTCCAAGAAAAACAATGTATAAAAAGACACAGGGTTCTTAAAATACAGGCAGTAAATGTTGCTTAGTAGGCGTTTGTGTTCCCATGATTGCAACTTCGACGCTCAAATCTCCTTAAGTGGCCTACAGCTCAGATTAGATATTCAATTAAAACCTATACATTGTACATATAAACACAATATTAACATATGTTTTAAATATTTATCTTTGTTGCTTATAATTAATTGCACGAATTTTTACTTGACATATAAAATTATTATATTGAGCATTGTTTAAAGTTTAAATACAAATCTAATTCAGTGCCACGTATCGTGTTTTTTGTAGTGACGCAAGTCATTAGGGCAGCAGCACAGCGAGTCAAGCGGCTTGCGGCTGACCGCAGTCCGCTCTGTTTCACTAAATAACTATACTGACATGGCTGTAAGCACAAACCAACGAATCATAAAGCCACTGAACAGCATTCTTTATATATAGATGTATTTCATCAAACATGTAAGATGTAAAGCCTTCTGTGCTAGTGACGAGACAAGATTGGTACGTATTAATTCATGTGAAGGCCAAAATTTTATTATTAGTATATATTAGTTATATTAAAAGTATATATTAGTTTATTATTAGGCCATTAGACAGTCCCTAACGACCATAATTTTTTTTTTAAGTGGAAAACTATGTCCTTTAATGGACGATAAATGATTCAGCACAACATTTTATTAATTTAAATTGTATTTACCTTAAGAGTGGCTAATTGCGCAGATCCTCCGGTGGTGCGGCTGCGGCTGGGCAGCTCGTTGGCGGCGGGTGACATCAAGGAGGGCGATGACGTTTATTTCGAGTGCCACGTCCGCGCTAACCCTCCGGCCAGGAAACTCTCCTGGCTCCACGACGTGAGTATTGCACTGTGAATATTGTGATTAGCTTAGTTGGAGCAGGCACTTTCTATTTTCACTAGCTTGATACTAATTGTACTAGGCGTTTCGGAGATACCTCAGTTTGATTTAAACATATTAGCCAATAAACATAATTAATATGAGGATGAAGTAACAGTTGGGTTTCATAACTGTTTTTGGGCAGAAATGGTTAGTTACTCTCTTTTTATATTATTTAAGATAAAATGCTACGTAACACTTGAAATATAATATATATAAATCTATAAATCTGCATAAAACCAAAAGCGTACTAAACATCTAATGAAAGTACTAAGATTTGAAAATAAAGAACCACTCTATTAAAAATTTTGATAACTAAATATAGTTAACCAACCAAAGGATAATTAGTTAACTTAATAAATCTTAAGTGAAGAAAGTTTAAGTGATCCAACTCAACGGGACCAGTAAAGGTGCGTTTTCACTGCCGCGTAGCTGTGCGGTGTGGAGCAGAGAAGATCAGTATATTTTTTATTTGGGACTAATCCCTCCCACACGTTACAGTGTAACTCCTGTACACAAGGATCAACAGCAGTGACCTACGAACACACTGAGTTATGACACTCGGGAAGTCCCAGGAAAAAAAAATGTCTTGGAACCCGCAACAAATTAATCAGAAGGAAGTTGGAGGAGTTGGAAATATAATAAATCCACTTCCCTCCTGAGCAAAGCGATAGTCAAAATGAAGTAAAATAGGCATACACCCTTTTAAACAAGGAAGCACAAAATATTATGGATCCTAAATGAGCTATATTTAATTTCTATAATATGTATGGTAGAATCGCCTAAACGGACGGAAATTCACTCTATTTAACACAAGATAGTAGGTATACTGGGGCGGTAGCCCCAGACGTAACCTGTAATCTATTCAGCATTATGTTACGTTCATTATACCAAAGACTAAATTCCCAGAGGATATGATGAGCAGACTTTTCATAGTGAGAGTTAGGTGTTGAGCATTGACACAATGGTGACTCGACTAATTTAAATGAATACAGCTTGCTCTTAAAGTTGTCATGACCTGCAAGAAATTGAGCGACACAGTGGTCTACTGGTAGTACGCCCAAAAAATCGCATTGCATGTTTTCTAGAGTTGTATAGTACACGTCTTTGCACCTCGAGATCGACCGAAAGCATACCCGCCAACACCGGCAGGGCTTATGTGGGACTCCCGGAGAACCGGTTTACACTAAACTACCTCGGTAGTCAGTGCTAACCGTCCTATATGCATTGCACAGGAGCAGTGAAATGTGGCAAGTGTTTCTATCGAAGCGGAGTGGGGCGGAGTAGAGCTGAACTGAGCTGAGCAGACCAAAGCTGCATTGAACCGTATTCCAAGCAGTCACCTTCAATCTCTTGTCATGTTATCGGTAAAAATAAAAGAGCAGTGCTTTTACCTCTTTCTTTATTGGAAGCTGAAGGTTTGGAAGAAGAGATCCCTCCGCACCGTCTTATTATTTTCTCGTTTTGCTTTGAAAGTTCGCTCAGCTCCACTCCGCTCCACTTACACTGTTTCCACTGGTGCGAAGTGGAGATTTCGAGTGCTGTGATTGGTCAATTTACAGTCCGCTCCTCTTTACTCCGTTCCCCCGTAGCATGTCACTCGTAGCACTTCCCTCGTAGCCCGTTGGTACGTAGCATCACGAGCTTTAAACGATCGTAACTTTCAAATAATTTACCAATGCTGATTTACAATCAACATTGTTAGCTGAAAATAGGATATTCTGGTGTCGGTCAGAACAAATTATCACATCTTGAAATAAACTTGAAATAGGACAACGTTATATTCATTACAAAAAAACTTGCTTTGACAATTGTCGACAACATAAATATCATTATAAATAAATCCAACATCAATGAGAACACCGGTGACGAGAGATGGATGAGTGTGGGACGGTGGGTAGGGGGTCCGAACGGCGCAAGAATAAAGTAATAGACGAGGGTGCACGGTCTGATAATCGCTTTGTGCTGTCTCACTCCTGTTTTAATCAGCATATAGAGAGGGGGCGGTACACATTTTTTTTTTGTTTCGTTTCACCCTTTCAGGAGCAGTAGTCGCGTTGTTAAACGGCCCGCGCTTCGCGCTGTGTATTGTGTCACTTTGGTTGGCGGCCCGGCCTCGGCTCAGCGCCAGCGGCACGCGTCCCCGATGCGATTGTGCCTGAATTTCCACGCGAATAACGCTAGTATGCGACACACATCAGATTTTAATACGAGATGCATATCCTAACTACACGAGAGTACGCTATTAATTACTAAGTAAATTACGGTACACAAACTCACGATAATATTCATTTCAGTACGTCTAGGGTTGCCAACTATGCTAATCAAAATACTGTTTACAATGTAAGTGTCAGTGTCATGTAGAAAGCTATTACAAAAGTAAACTCAATATTTATGTGAATGAATAATATCCAGAGTTGATGATAACCTTTATTTAATAATTACATATGAAAAACAAACTCCTAGATTCATTTCTTATACAAAAAGTTGTCAACTCTGAGCACGCGTATTGCGTTATATACAAATATAAGACAAACTATTCAGACGCAGATATTCGCTCAATAAGCTCAGCTCCGCAAAGCTTGCGGCAACTTCCTTGTGGTAACCTCACTCAAACTTGTTTTGAGAACTTACAACGACTTGTACGAATTAGTTTTCAGTGAGAGTTGGTTTAGTTATGCAGGTGACGTACAAACCTCATTTCCAATATTGCAGATCTCGTTGCACTGTAGGGATAATCCCCAACCAGATATATAGTGCGGTGGTTTCGATGACGTCGATAATTAAACCGGCTTGCATCGCACGTTAATAGTTGGCCATTGTCGGCCGGGTGACGTACAGCGCGATATTATTCGTGATATTCCCCTCAGTAACACTCGTCCATTTTTCGTGAGGCGCCGACAAGCCTCATTGTTTTATGTTTGATTGTTTTTGACAAATGGCGGCGCATCCGCCGCTCGCGAATTAAAACGCACATAATTTACAGCGGTCATTTGCGATACGCCGCACACGTATGTACATATACTATATGTATCTGCCATTTTTTATTATCAAAGCTCGCTGTCATAACGAAAATATAAGTGGGATTGTTGTGCAACACATAAATTATAGGTTTTATTGCGTCCGCGCGACTCGTTTTGTGAACTTTATAGTTCTGCTCCAATGATGTCGATAGCGGTTATAAATACTATTAACTATGTTCAACGTTCAGTCATCATCATTTTAAAGCATGAAACAGAAATATGTACATAAATATCCATCAGAAGGAACTAGCTTTATGAAAAGTATAAACTTGGAGTTAGTTTTAATTAAAACTTATGTCAGAATTAAGTATCTTTTTGATGTTGTTTATTACATTTATGTGTCGTAAAGTCACTTGATGATGGTTTGAGATCACGTAATCAACTCGAGTTGGTAAAAGCACTCATTCATACCAGCCCGGAACGCTTTATAATTTATTAATATTATCGTTTACGCAGTTCACTGGATTAAAAAAATGTACAACGAGGAAGAGTGCACATTAAAAAAATATATGCATATGTCTGATTCGGAAAATGAAAATGAATGAAAACTTCAGTACTGTTGATCTGGCAAGGAATCTGTGGACATGAGACCTACCGTGGTACAGGTTTAATAATATTATCAAGTTGTGCAGTTGCAGTCCCTCGGGTAAATACCGAGCCGCGGGTTTACTCGCACCAATTAATTATTTAAATATTGGCTAATAATACGAGTGTGTCTATAAACAGCGAGAACCAATATGTTTGTTTTAGATAATATGTATAAACAACAAGATCAGTGTGATGAAAAATGACCTCCTTTAAAGTGTTCTAAACTGGCGAGCGTGCGAACAATACTCTTAAAGCTCACTTACCATTGAAATACTAACGTCTTTTAAAAACCATTTTTTAATGTGACTATTGTGTATGTTGACTTATAGTCACACAATAGAATTTGCAAACAAATTGTATGATGTTTGTTCTCTAAACCTGTGTAATAAACCTAACAGTGTAATATAAGTACCGTCTGTTCACTCCCCTTTTAATAGCATAAACGTGAACTTAGCTGCCACCAGACGTCAAACACGAAAACGACACTAATTACACCTTACGTCACGTCAACGTTTATATATATGCAAATGTACTTATATAGCTCAACACAAAACCGTTGACAATAACATATCTGACAGTTACCTAACCATACCTAGCCCCCCCCCCCCCTCTCTCGCCTCTCATCCCACACCTTGCCGGTCCCCTGCCACTGACAAACAGAAGGAGACCGTAAGCGCCATCCTTAACCCGGTGACTGTCTTGACTATTGAGTCCAGTGAACTGAATATATTCGAGTCACTGGCGAATACATTTCAGGAATAATATGACGAGTAAATGGCGTTAAGTACGTCTATTGAACCATCGGAAGCTGAACAGTTTTCTTTATGTTGCTTTTAGAGGTTTTATTTTGACATATCCGACCGAGGAAAATAGTAAAATACTGTGTGTAAAAGTGTATACATCGTGAAGATACTTTTATATTTCCTTTGATGTGCTCATTTTACACTATTACACTAACTTTTCGATTTCCACCTTACATGATGTATAATTATGTTCAAATAATGGAATTAACGTGACCTCGTCACAAGTTTAACATACTTGTAAACTGCCTGATGTTTCGACCAGGTTGTACCACCCATAGTCTATTATAGTTACGTCTGTGAGTCAGTCTGCCTTATATTATATATATATACGAAGAGCCAACTCAAAGTTATGTAAACTGTTATGTGATCGCGTTAATTCAAGTGTATGAACAAACTTATATGCTCATTTTATGTATAGCTATGTATACTAGTTAAATACAAATATATTAAAGTATGCCCGTAATACCTGTTTTGAACTGTATACGTTATTTTTCTTTAAGATTATTCGCAATTTCATTTTTCAGTCACATCTATTGTTTGAATA